GGGGAAGGAAATCAGAAAAATTGCCGAACAACACCCACTTCCACAACACTGCCAGGTCCCACCTCTGTTGTCTCCAAAATACTTCATAAAATGGTCCAATGAAGCAAATGATATACCCCATACAAGGAGGTAAATGCCCATACCCACATCCCAATCCCTCTTCTTGTTATATCGAAGGTTACTCTCCATTCTCTAGATGTTCTGTAGGGTAAATAGTATGGTTAGAGGCAGGGGTGGACTGACAAGTCATGGGGCCCCGGGCAATAGGGGATCATAGGGCCCCTGTGTCTTCACCCACACTCAAACCACACCCAAAAAAGCCTATGAAAGGTACCAGGGGCATCTCATGGGGCCCCCTACTGACCCCGGGCCCTCGGGCAGTGCCCGAATGGTCAGTCCGCCCCTGGTTAGAGGGCGAGCTAAAGGAATACTAACTAAAGAAAAGAAGAATGATGAATGGGAGGGCCTGTCTCTCCAGAAGGATGGCACCATGTTCTTTCAGGCAATATCCTGGACTGAGATGCCGGCTTAGTGATCACACAATCATGCAACCACCACAATCAACTACAGACTGAGACGACCCAAGACAGGTAAAAGAATAGTCAAGGGACTGAAGAAGGAGAATAGAGAGAAGGGTGAGTATAGAGAGCGAGGGGAACAACGTCAGATTATGGAGTATATGGACTATAGACACAGGAGACAGTAAAGAGGGCAGAAAGAGGAAGGAATGTGAGGACTGTGAAATGGGGAGAGTGGCGATTGGCCTTTGGAGAGGTGGGAAGTGGAGGAGTGTAGGGACTGTAGACAGAGAGGAGAGAGAGAGGAACTGTGAAATGTGAGGAATTGTGAAATGGGGAAGTGAGTGGGGACTGATTGGCCTTGAAATGGGGAGAGTGGCGATTGGAAGAGGTGGAAGTGAGGAGTGTAGGGACTGTAGACAGAGAGGAGGAGAGGAAGGAATGTGAGGATGTGAAATGGGGACTTTGTGAAATGGGAGTGTAGGGACTGAGTGAGAGGAGGAGAGGAAGCAGTATGGGAAGAGCGATGGGGAGAGTGGCCTTTTTGGAGAGGTGGGAAGTGGAGGAGTGTAGGGACTGTAGATAGAGAGGAGAGAGAGGAAGCAGTATGGGAAGAGCTGTGAAATGGGGAAATGGGGAGAGAGATGGCGATTGGACTTTAGGAGAGGTGGGAAGTGGGGGAGGATTGTGTAGGGACTGTAGACAGAGAGAGGAGGAGAGGAAGGAATGTGAGCATTGTGAAATGGGGAGAGTGGCGATTGGCCTTTGGAGAGATGGGAAGTGGAGGAGTGTAGGGACTGTAGATAGAGAGGAGGAGAGGAAGGAGTATGGGAAGAGCTGTGAACATTAGGGTCTGTGGAGAGGATAAAGTCATGGAGAGTATAGACTTTAGAGATCCACAATAAAGTAGCCGGAAACTCGGAAAGCTTCTTAATGGAGATCTTTATTGGTTACATAAATACAGGATCCATAAATCTGACGCGTTTCGGCATGCTGTGAATAAGGCTTTGTCAAGTCAGTTTTGGATCCTGTATTTATGTAACCAATAAACATTTCCATTAAGAAGCTTTCCGAGTTGCCGTCTACTTGTATTGTGGATATTTGCTGTGAGGAGTGGATGCCTCAGCCAGTGCAGCCGTCTCCTGTCTCCATGTGGTGAATAGAGCAGTTGAGTTTGGGTAAGATTTGTTCTCAGAGATTCTAGATAGACTTTAAATTCTGACTCCAACTGTTTTAGTGATGTGTCCCTTGCTGAGACCTCCATGCCAGGCCTGTAGAAGCAGATACAATCACCGAGGACAGTCTTTATCAGATAGCTGAACTCACCAAACACCTTTTCTCATCCATGAAGATCTTTATTGAGTGCAGCTTAATTACAGCAGACAAGATTGGCAGATGAGGAAAGGATGGTATTTGCAGGTCAAAACATGGTAATGCTTTCCCGGATGTGAGCAATTACTTGTGGCCTAGAGACAAGCAGCCATATTCAACCAAATAAAGACAGTGTGAAAAGGAAGCAGAAGTACAACACAAGAGGGAGGGAACATAGAAAAGAAGACAGAAAATGACGGTGCAATAACCAGAATATTTACAAGATGGTCGTATCTTAAAGCAAGTGTACAGGCAAAATGTTTTTTTCAAAAACATAACAAACATGTCTATACTTACTGCTCTATGAAATGGAATTGCCGCGAAACTCCTCTTCTTAGGTCTACCGCCAAGGCCCCTGGTCCCTCCTATATGTCCAGTGCCCCCATTGGAAGCCCCTTCCCATGGAGGCACTCGTGTGTGCTTATTCCCATCCCCGCTGCTTCCATTGACACAGACAGCAGTACTCGGCCCCGTTCCCTCTTCACTGGCTTTGATTGACGGTGCTGGGAGCCAATGGCAGGATTGGATGTGTGTTCACTATGGATCTCCCACCATGGGCAGGATTGGATGTGTGTTCACTATGGATCCCCGACCATGGCCAGGACTGGATGTGTGTTCACTATGGATCTCCCACCATGGGCAGGATTGGATGTGTGTTCACTATGGATCTCCCACCATGGGCAGGATTGGGTGTGTGTTCACTATGGATCCCCCACCATGGCCAGGACTGGATGTGTGTTCACTATGGATCCCCCACCATGGGCAGGATTGGATGTGTGTTCACTATGGATCCCCCACCATGGGCAGGATTGGATGTGTGTTCTGTATGGATCCCCCACCATGGGCAGGATTGGATGTGTGTTCACTATGGATCCCCCACCATGGGCAGGATTGGATGTGTGTTCACTATGGATCCCCCACCATGGGCAGGATTGGATGTGTGTTCACTATGGATCCCCCACCATGGGCAGGATGTGTGTGTTCTGTATGGATCCCCCACCATGGGCAGGATTGGATGTGTGTTCACTATGGATCCCCCACCATGGGCAGTATTGGATGTGTGTTCACTATGGATCCCCCACCATGGGCAGGATTGGATGTGTGTTGCCTATGGATCCCCCACCATGGGCAGGATTGGATGTGTGTTCTGTATGGATCCCCCACCATGGGCAGGATTGGATGTGTGTTCACTATGGATCCCCCACCATGGGCAGGATTGGATGTGTGTTCTGTATGGATCCCCCACCATGGGCAAGATTGGATGTGTGTTCTGTATGGATTCCCCCACCATGGGCAGGATTGGATGTGTGTTCCCTATGGATCCCCCACCATGGGCAGGATTGGATGTGTGTTCTCTACACTTCTTTGGCTGTCTCCTCACTTCGCAACAGAGAGGAAATCTTGGCCAGTGTTGTGCAGAGTATTCCTTCCGCAGTGCGTCCTCTCCCGTCTGTGGGTGATTGCGCTCAGTAAATATTTATCAGGCTGTATCCCCTCCAGTTTTTCTCTCTCCTTCTGGTTGGGAAGAGATTTGCTTCCAGCCATTTAGGAAACATCTGTCTTGTAAGTGGGGCTCTCACACGTCTATCCTACCTGTCCCCCCCGGGGCCCCTGTGTCCTCATTATTTCCTCACAGCCCTCCTGTCAGTGTCCTCAGTACAGATCTCGTCTTCCCTTGTCGCTATCATCTCCATGAATTATTGATGGGTGAGGGGAGGCTGCACACATTGTACCCATAGACGCTACCAGTGTCAGACTTTCCACTCGGCTCAATCCTGTCCTGATATCAGCCTTCCTGTAACAAGGAGGACAAGGGATCAGCAGACACTACCATCCGAGATCTGACTTGTAGCAGCCATTCAACTGCTTGCGGCTTTGTGCCCAATTCTTCAGGCTGGTTTCTGATTGGCCAGCTGAAAAAAAAGGAAAAAACAGAGAAACATAAAAACAATTTCAGTATTAGGAGTAGAACTGAGATTCAAACTTGATTATATAATTGTAGTTACTCCCTACATGTTTTGCCCTCACGGGCTTCTTCAGGAAAGTTTTTTGAAGAGATTTCAACTGCTGAGGCAGTCTAAAGGTATATCAAAAAAAATTATACAATTACCAAACAACTTTAATATATCCAATACAAAGTATTTAATCAAATATATATATATATATGGCACTCAATGGCTCACCCTGGATGTGAAAGCTCACAGAGCTAAAAGGAAATAACCTATCAAAGATAGCGGTTTCGGTGGTGAAAAACGGCGTATCTTGGAGATGTTGCAGGAGGTGAAGTCTACAAGATTTGGACAGTGATTGGATTTGGGGCTGAAAGGATAGATGGGAGTCTAGGATTACACCTAGTGCCCTGGCATGAGGGGAGAGACTGATGGTTGTATTATTGATCCTGATGGAGAAGTCAGGGGAGGGGGCACGGGCTGGAGGGAATAGTATGAGCTTCATTTTAGAAATATTGAGTTTGAGGAAGTGGAGTGACATCCAATCCGATATGTCACTTAGTAGGTTAGTAATGCGAGAGGAGACTGAAGGGGCGAGGTGAGGAGGAGACTGAAGGGGCGAGGTGAGGATAGATTTGTGTGTCATCAGCATAGAGATGGTACTTAAAGCCATGGGAGTTTATCAAGTGACCAAGGGAGGAGGTGTAGATGGAGAAGAGTAGGGGTCCAAGGACGGAACCTTGAGGGACCCCTACAGAAAGAGGGAGTGTAGAGAAGGAGACAGAGTTATAGGTAACGCTGAAGGAGCACTGCGATAGGTAGGAGAACCAGGAGAGAGCAGAGTCTCGGAAGCCAAGAGAGTGGAGATTTTTGAGGAGTAGGGGATGATCAACAGTATCAAAAGCCACACAGAGGTCAAATAGTAAGAGTATGGAGTAGTGGCCATTGGTTAGGGTGAGTATGGAGTAGTGGCCATTGGTTAGGGTGAGTATGGAGTAGTGGCCATTGGTTAGGGTGAGTATGGAGTAGTGGCCATTGGTTGGGATGACGGAGTAGTGGCCATTGGTTGGGATGAGTATGGAGTAGTGGCCATTGGTCAGGATGAGTACGCAGTAGTGGCCTTTAGTTGGGATGGTACGGAGTAGTGGCCTTTAGTTGGGATGAGTACGGAGTAGTGGCCATTGGTTGGGATGAGTATGGAGTAGTGGCCATTGGTTGGGATGAGTACGGAGTAGTGGCCATTGGTTGGGATGAGTACGGAGTAGCGGCCATTGGTTGGGATGAGTACGGAGTAGCGGCCATTGGTTGGGATGAGTACGGAGTAGCGGCCATTGGTTGGGATGAGTACGGAGTAGCGGCCATTGGTTGGGATGAGTACGGAGTAGCGGCCATTGGTTAGGGTGAGTACGGAGTAGCGGCCATTGATTGGGATGAGTACGGAGTAGCGGCCATTGGTTGGGATGAGTACGGAGTAGCGGCCATTGGTTGGGATGAGTACGGAGTAGCGGCCATTGGTTGGGATGAGTACGGAGTAGTGGCCATTGGTTGGGATGAGTAGGAGTAGCGGCCATTGGTTGGGATGAGTACGGAGTAGCGGCCATTGGTTGGGATGAGTACGGAGTAGTGGCCATTGGTTGGGATGAGTATGGAGTAGTGGCCATTGGTTGGGATGAGTACGGAGTAGTGGCCATTGGTTGGGATGAGTACGTGAGTAGTGGCCATTGGTTGGGATGAGTACGCAGTAGTGGCCATTGGTTGGGATGAGTACGGAGTAGTGGCCATTGGTTGGGATGAGTACGGAGTAGTGGCCATTGGTTGGGATGAGTACGGAGTAGTGGCCATTGGTTGGGATGAGTACGGAGTAGTGGCCATTGGTTAGGGTGAGTACGGAGTAGTGGCCATTGGTTAGGGTGAGTACGGAGTAGTGATCATTGGTTGGGATGAGTACGCAGTAGTGGCCATTGGTTGGGATGAGTACGGAGTAGTGGCCATTGGTTGGGATGAGTACGGAGTAGTGGCCATTGGTTGGGATGAGTACGGAGTAGTGGCCATTGGTTGGGATGAGTACGGAGTAGCGGCCATTGGTTGGGATGTCGTCATGTGCCATCGTCATGTGCCGTCATCATGTGCTGTCATCATGTGCCCTCATCATGTGCTGTCATCATGTGCTGTCATCTGTATTTCCTGCGCAGGGAAGTGTCTGTGAACACACAGCAGGACTTGTCATAGTCAGTGAATTACATTGAGAGGTCATCATTGGTACATAATGTGATTTCTGCGCCCGTCTCCTTGCACACACACACAATATCTACCATTGTCAGTGCAATTCACAGAAGGTTCCGTCTCCTGAGCACAATGGAAAGTTGAAGATTCGGATCATCTGATGACCCCCGGGAGCCATGCATGGAGGGCACAGGGGGGGGGGGGGGTAAGCTGGCCTGTCCTTGTAGAGGAAGAATTGAGATAACATGTCAGGATGAGGACCCCTCGAAGCAGCGGGATCACTTCCAATCACTATTCCCTGCGATAGATGTCAGAGATATATAAATGTCAAATAATCGTACTCTTGAGGGCATTTTGGAGGCAACCTACTAACACATTTTTTCTTTAAAGTATCTGTATTTATTTGTATAGATTAAAAAGTATACCAAATGTATAAACAACACAATTTCCATGGTGGATTCCAAACAAAGTATAACAAATGTATAAACAACACAATTTCCATGGTGGATTCCAAACAAAGTATACCAAATGTATAAACAACACAATTTCCATGATGGATTCCGAACAAAGTATACTAAATGTATAAACAACACAATTTCCATGATGGATTCCGAAAAAAGTATACCAAATGTATAAACAACACAATTTCCATGATGGATTCCGAACAAAGTATACCAAATGTATAAACAACACAATTTCCATGATGGATGGATTCCGAACAAAGTATACCAAATGTATAAACAACACAATTTCCATGATGGATTCCGAAAAAGTATACCAAATGTATAAACAACACAATTTCCATGATGGATTCCGAACAAAGTATACCAAATGTATAAACAACACAATTTCCATGGTGGATTCCGAACAAAAGTATATACCAAATATATAAACAACACAATTTCCACGATGGATTCCGAACAAAGTATACAAATGTATAAACAACACAATTTCCATGGTGGATTCCGAACAAAGTATACAAATGTATAAACAACACAATTTCCATGGTGGATTCTGAACAAAGTATACCAAATGTATAAACAACACAATTTCCATGGTGGATTCTGAACAAACCACAAAGGATTTTGAGTATCATATTGAAAGTTGAAGCACAGCACAGCCTAGTTCCAGTGGTGTCCCTCATAGCCGACATTCATCCCACAACCATATTGCTTGGATTGTTGGTTTATTCAGCCAGAGAGCCAACGCGTTTCAAATATTAAGGCTCGGTTCACACTGCCACGACTTGGGATCCGACTTCTGAGACCCCCAAGTCACATGACCTGTGAAATCCCATGTTAGTCATTCAAAACATTAACAATAATATAGAAAACCAATTATAACTCCGCCCCCAATTACATCACCAATCTTGTCTCCAAATATCATCCAAACAGTCCTCTCCGCTCCTCCCATGACCTCCTGCTCTCTCGCTTCCTTGTCTCCACCCATGCTCGACTTCTCCAGAGCCTCCCCATCCTCTGGAACTCTCTACCCCAATCTATCCGACTATCACCTACTCTGCCCACTTTTAGGCGATATCTGAAAACCTATCTCTTCAGGGAAGCGTATCCCACCCTCAGCTAATAACGGAATCCTCTATTTCTCCTACCAATCCATCCCCCACAGTTATTACCTTTTGTACCACCAGCCCCTCCCTCTTAGATTGTAAGCTCCCAGGATCAGGGCCCTCCTAACCCTCTTGTATCGTTGCTGTATTGTCTCCCGTTATATTGTTGCTGTATTGTCTCCCGTTGCTGTATTGTCTCCCGTCATCTTAATGAGCACGACTGAAGTTGCCCCGACTTTAGAAAAGGTTCCTGAGCTACTTCCAGGCGACTTCTATCTGACTTGTGCCCATAGACTTTAATGGAAGTCGCCTCCAAGTCGGATCCTCATCTATATTGATATGATTTGGATTTGACATTACAGGAAGATTACCCAGCATTCCCTGAAAGTCGCATCAGAGTAGTACTGAAGTTGCCTGGCAAAGTCGTGACTTTCAGGTCGTAGCAATGTTAAGCAAGACTTATGCAGGCCATAGATGGGTAAAAAAAGGGCCGTTTTTAAGAAAAACAAAACAAAAATCGGTCGTTCAATAGGCCGATGTTACCACCAACGGTAAAAAAAATTGACCGATTTTCGTCCCATCTACGACCGGCATTTAATTACTTCTGTCCCTGCAGAGAGCTCCGCTATTATATTTGACATGAAAAAGTATTGTGGTTGCAACAATGTATCTATTTGTATCCATTTCATATACAAATGTTTTTATTCGGATACAAATAGATACATTGTTGCAACCGCAAGACTTTTTCATATCAAATATAATAATTCTTCTTCCTCCTTCTTCTTCTTCCTTCTTCCTCCTTCTCCTCCTTCTTCCTTCTTCCTTCCTTCATCTTCCTTCTTCTTCTTCGTTTTCTTCTTTTTTTTATTGGTAAAAAGATCAGCCAGTTTGCCCATCATTGCCGCGAAAATCGGCCGATCGGCGAAATTGGCCAATTTTTTTTCCAGGTTCACTGATTAAAAAAATGTGCCAAAATCCAGAAAAAAGCCGGCCGACCAATTAACCCATTAACGGTGTGAAAACCATCCAATTTTCGCCCCATCTTTGGCCTGCATTAGAGTGTAAGCTCCTGTGGTGCAGAGACTACAGTTCTAATATACAGGGAGTGACATGACTGCAGTGACTAGTACAAGGACACAGACTCCGGTCCTTTGATGTATGTGGTCGGAGGTTGGTAGTCACGACTGAGATGTGTAATTAGGAGTCTAATCTGAAAGTCATTCCCCTGAAGTCGTGGTCCTCTTCATCTGCACGGCTCAATCACGCTGTGTTTGATTTGTAGCGGACTCTGGAGAGCGGACTCTGGAGAGCGGAGTCCCCCGCACCGCTCAGCACTGCTAATGACACTTGTAGGGGACGCTCCTCACTTGTACTGTAAATAGCTTTGTTAATTAAAGTATCTTTTTATTCCTGCCCTTCACTTTCGCCTCGTCGGCCCCGGCAGGAGCGACACCAACTACTCTGCATTAATGAGATTGTTATGCTGGTGACCGCAGACACACATCCGTGTAATAACACCAAAACACGCTGCAGATGCTGCATTCATCCACAAAGTGTTCTGTGCCTTTAAAGGATCAGTCCGTCCAGAAGTGATACGTGGAGTTTGAAGAGGAACTCTGGACCCAAAAACTTTCATTCTCCAATCTATTCTTCAATAGCCACAAAGGATATAAATCCACTTTGTGTGCGCCAAATGTTTTTGCAGACCCAGCTATTACCTTGTAAACGTAGCAGTGACATCAGCACTGTGCTGTGCATAGCTTGTGTTGTGGGAGAGGCCAGCAGGCTCCACCCACTACAGGCTTATTGCAGAAATCTACAGGAGGGGGCAGAGTCGAGACCAGTCACCCTGCACAAGGAGAGAGAAAGCAAAGCTGTGGGAGGGGCCCTTAAAGCTCCACCCACTACAGGCTTCTTTCAGAAATCTACAGGAGGGAGCGGAGACAAGACCAGTCACCCTTCACAAGGAGAGAGAAAGCAAAACTGTGGGAGGGGCCCAGCAGACTCCACCCACTACAGGCTGCCTGTATAAAATAACAGAAGGGGGCGGAGACCAGACCAGTCACCCTGCACAAGGAAAGGGAAAACAGAGCTCTGGGAGGGGCCTAGCAGTCTCCACCCACTACAGGCTGCCTGCAGAAAACTACAGGAGGAGGCGGAGACCAGACCAGTCACCTTGCACAAGGAAAGGGAAAGCGGAGCTCTGGGTGGGGCCCAGTAGGCTCCACCCACTACAGGCTGCCTGCAGAAAACTACAGGAGGGGGCGGAGACCAGACCAGTCACCTTGCACAAGGAAAGGGATAGCGGAGCTCTGGGTTGGGCCCAGTAGGCTCCACCCACTATAGGCTGCCTGCAGAAAACTGCAGGAGGGGGCGGAGACCAGACCAGTCACCCTGCACAAGGAAAGGGAAAGCGGAGCTATTTTCACGGAAGCTGCAGATTAAAAAAAAAAACTCAGAAAATGCATTTTGGAAAAACAATAACATAGTAAAGTTGTTATGTGGTCGGATTTTCATCTACAGATCTCCTCTGTGCAGCTGCTTCCTGTCTACATGCTCTCCAGCAATGGCTGCATGGCATTTCTTGATGGTGACAACAGCAGACCATGTCTATGTAATGTGTGTCTCTATTGGAAGCCCCCATGACAGGGTGACAACATAGGAGCACATAGTGGAGACCGCGACAGAGTGTTGTCACCCTATAACAGGAAGTGCCTGAACAAGGACTTTCATGGCAGGATCACCGGGATTATTTTAATGAAATAAATTTGAAACGACATGAAGATGTTGGAGGTGTTATGAGACTTTAGTGGCGGGGTTTACATCGATTCCTGATCCGGAGGGATCTGTCACTTTCAATGGAGGTTCACATACATAGACAGAAAGACGGGGTGTCGTGTTCCTGGGTGTGGAATGATTTCACCACTGTATGTAAATCTCTCCTTTTCCTTCTTCTCCGCCTCCACGAATGTTCCGTACCGCCAGTCCTGTAATATATGGCGGGATATACCGCTGACTCAACCCAGGGGATTCCCATCCTTCTTCCGCTGTCAGCCAACATC